TCTGCCAACAGCCTCTTCGTGCAGAGGCAGGAATAAATCCACCAGTTTACTGGACCTGTCTTTTAAGGGCATTTCAGCAAAGCGGAATACTGAATCCCAGGGCTAGTTCAGGAAGCCCAGTGTGTAAAATGCCCTGAATTAATGAAAAAACAGGGTGATGTGTGACATGGCTTTTTTTTCTTGCAGGTATTTGTAAATTTTGCTAAGGACCAAAGCGACGACGACCACTCTAAGGATCTGTCATTGCACAAAAACCAGACTGTGGTAGACATTGCAATCCTTAATTCTTTCCTGCAAGATGAGAAGGTAAAAGAAAGTTGTGTGTGAGCCAACTTCAGCAAAGAAATTATGAGCAGAATGCGAACTTCCTTTTCCTGGGATAGGATACTCCCAAAGAAGAAGCTAGAGGAAGAGAAACTGGACACTCTACTGATAACCATTCAATGCAATGCAATTCAATGCAATGAAAACAAAATTCTTTTACAGGGGCAGTGCCTCGTGGAGTCGTCTTGTACTGTTCTCAAGTGAAAGACTTGAACTTAGCTCATTACAGTATAACTCTGAAGCTGTGGTAAAGCACCCACCAGATGCTGTGGGCTTTCAACCATACTGTATCTTGTCCTGTACAGTATGTTTTTACTAGGGTTGCAGAAATGGTTCATTGAGGAATCATGGCCAGTGGTTATTTATAGATACTTCAGACATGCATGTTTTATCTTTAAAACAATCATGTCAGGAGTGGGAATTTCCTGGTGCTACATCCATTGCTGGCAATGAATGCACCAAGAGAGTCAGTGGCAAAAGAAGTCACCACTGGTGTTGTAGCCTTAGGTTGTGAAAACTTACCTGACCAGCTCCTCTTCCTAGACTGGTGTAGGTCAGTTGGTGACAAATCTGGGGCCACAAAGCAGTACTGTGCAGATGGGATGGCAAGAGACAGGCCATTGTATCCATACATCTCCATCATAGGTGGTGATTTGCAGAACTATGAACCCTGCAAATGCACAGGATTGTCCCACCAGCATCACAGCCAATAACCTACTCTGACTGGGGTTTTGTGTAGCTAAGTACTCTCCTGCTCCTTTGAGATACTGCAGCAGCTGCATGAACACCTAGGAGGAGGAAGTGGGTGAGAAGCAGACCTAGGGTTTGGACCACAGCAGCAAACTCAGTAGTTGTACAAGCTGCTAATGCCAAGAGCAAATTCTAAATCATGAGACATCACTCAGATATGTAATATCTGCTCTTTAACCCCTGCTTTGCACCAGAAAGGTACCCATCATCTGAAGTTATTGCTTAGCACAAGCATGTTGCCATTCCTGGCTTTGCCAGATAAAACTAGAAATGAGATGTAGATTTTTTTTTAACAGTATTATTTATGACTTTAAATAGGTAGGTAGCATAATTAGGGATTGAAAGTGCTTTCAGTTGATCTTTGTAGCCACAGTATTTCTTTACGTTATGCCTGCAATGCTGTTCTCTCATTCTATCCATTCAGCGATAGCTATGTTCATGATCTGACCAAGTTCCAGACTCTAGCAATCAGCCGCTATCCGCAATTACTGCAAGTTGTTCACCTAAACTTTTCCCCTTTGGAAACTGGTATAACATTAGATTAATGTGTAAGTTTCTGCTTCTGTTGTGCAGTGTAGTTTCAGTCATTAGGTGATCCCTAACTGGAGAATACACCCTTATTGTCACAGGTGTGACAAACCGCCTCAGTAAAAATCCCCTTCAAGAACAAGATAGCTCAAAATAGTAGTGCTACAGTTACATCAGTCAATCATTTTTAAAGTTTTACAAAGCCAGAGTAATATTGGAGGGGATATTATGTGATAAGAACAAACAATTCTTGTTCACGTTGTACAACAGTGATGGGAGAGTATGCTTTCATTAATCCATTTATGGGCCCCTCTGTCTTGCTTTTACATTCAGAAATAGGTTCGGTAATGTGGTTTGAACCCAAGTGCAGTTCCTGGGCTATTCCCATATGTTACACCTCCGCCTTAAATACTCATACGGGTTCTGCACTAGTTCCTGATGCTACTCTGCCGTAAATCAAGTCACGGACCATTTTCTTCTGTGAATGCCCACAGCAGCCCAACAAACAGTGAAGAGGCTGGCAGGAGCCTGAAGGAGGTTGATTACATGTTTCCGGGTATACTTGGTAACACTGACCAGTTCAGCATTCTTAATAAGCAAACAGTTAAATATTTAGCACAAGTTCCCAGTCCCTACTGTGTCCTGCCTTGGGATAAAGTAAGAGCTTACTACATGCTCTGCTGAAGTGCCTTTTTTCATACATTTTTTTTTTTTAATCTGTATAATACATTGCTAAGGGGATTGAGAAAGGAGTGTAATGGGGATTGGTATACCTCACTTAAAACATGCTTTGGTATTACCTTTATGGCATCATCACCCTATGGGGATGAGTTACAGGGTGATGAATACAGCAGACTTCCAGGTGCAGAAAAATGACTAAACAGCTGAGCTACAGCCATGACTTCTCTGTAACAGGCTGCAGGTATGCTATGGTATCATTGAAACAAATAGCATGTATTAAAGGCTTACCACTGCTAAAAATCACTATTACAAATCAGCATTAAGTCACCGAAGTGAAGGGCTTAAGTTCTGCACAGCACCAAACTAGTGCGTGTAGAACTAGAACGAGTTCTAGGAGGATTCAGATTTGGTCCTGAAAGGGCTGCGGTTTGCTCTCTGTGACTGCTCATGTAAATGATTAATCTAGCAGGAAACAACAGTCACATCGTAATCCTCTTTCCTTAGCCCACCAAAAAAAAGAGATTCTTGATTCCTATTGCCCTGTGACTGTCACGCTCATACAGAGTCTGCTATCTGTGACAAAATATTACAGTAAAGATGGATATTAACTGAACTGCTTCACAGCTCTGACCTGCCTTGTTTGTACTGAACAGACAGCACAATGCAACTCTCGCATGAAGATTTGTCAAGGAGTAAGTTCAGACAGCCACTAATTTAAGTGTGTGTTGGGGAAAAATCACTCTAGAGTCACGTACAACATATGAACCACTCTTGATAATGAAACTGCACTGAGGTGTTAACTTGTTTTAAACTTCATTACTATTGACATGTTGCATCCCTCTTTGTAGTACGTTTGTGTTTCAGAAAGGTATTTTCCCCATGGTTAAACCACCACTTTGCGCTTATCCTTCCCTCCTGAATTATAGTTGGTCCTTCATTCCAAGCACTTTATGCTATCTGTAATGGGATCTATTTTTGCACTGGAATATCTGTTAACTTTGCAAAAATCTAAAGAGATTTCACAACTGAAATTTCTAAGTTAAATCTTTAAATGGACATTTTCATTAAAAGCAAAAAAAAAGTATATATATTTGTATTTGCTAATAACTGTTATGTGAAGTATTAAAAGGCACTCTAATTGCCTTGTGTTAAGTAAAAAATAAAGCTGTTATGGCATCATTGGTCTTCAAAGTGTCATTTTTGCATGTGTTCTTCTGAGGAGTGCTGTTAGCAGCTCTTGTTTGCCCAGTTTTGTTTTGTTGCGAACTTTGATGTGTAAAAGCAAAATGTTGTGTATGAAGAATTTGAAATACCCTAAACTTAGTTAATCCTTAGCTAATATCAAATTAAAGGAAGATCACTCAAGTTAATACCACGTTGATTTTGAACAGCAGTTTATAAATGAAAGCAGAATAATGGTCCAATTCCTCGAAGGAAAACTGATTTTAAAATTTTGCCTTCTGGTGCCTGTAGTCCCACTGTTAACCAATTACGTTCCAGAATCCAACCAATTCTTGAAGTTAGACTCACCGAGATAAGAAGCCAATTCAAATTTTCTGGGTTTTCTGTTCTAATCTAGTCTCCAGCTGGTGCTTTGGGTAATATGCTTGATTTATCAACTTCTTGTCAGAAAACAGTGAATTCTGGAATAAAGCACACCTCTTAACATACTGAGTGTTCTTTACTCTCAATGCTGGTGACAAGGGAAATAGTTTTACTAAAACAATCATACTTTTTCAGTATCACCCTCTATTTTTTATTCCAGTAAACAATAAAACCAATTTTTGCGTTCACGTGGAAAAAAAAAAAGAGTCCTATTAATTCCCTGTCCCATTTTTCAGCCCATATTTTTGTTACTTAAAAAAAAAAAACAGCCAACCTCCTCCTTTGAGTTAACTGCCATAAGGTAACATTCTGAATAGATGTAGTAGTGATGGTTTATCAGGCGCTTATACCTTAAAAAGCTGATTTGCAAAATATAAGACAGTGGTCTCTGAAGTAGTGCTTGTTCCACCCTGAGAATGTTAAAGATGGCTCTATCAGAGGGAGGAGAGTATAAGGAGTTTGGTATAGGAGCTGGGACCTATTATATTCCCTTGCTACAGCAGCTGGATCCCATCCATGCACCTTGGACATAGGCGTATTTGCCTATAGCTGTTGTTTTAGTGCTTTCTGTGACACCTCAATGCACTTTACAGAAGCAATAATCGTCATCAGGCAGACTGCACAGAGATAACTTCAGTAGAGATATGAAATCAATTGCTCATTGCAGGTCAGTGATTAACCTGTGGCAAAGCCTCCCAAGTGCTCTGCCAGTTAGTGGCCTTTAAATTGCAGAGGAAGGTGCTCCGTATCACTGTATGTAACACACGAGTTTGACTTCTCAGCCCATGTGCCCTCGGCTCTGCTGCTGTTCAGCCTTCTGGCTCTAAAGCAACTATTATGAAACTGTTGTTGACCAAAATGCAAGACCTGCCAAATGGTGTACTTGGGGAATTGGGTTTATCATTTGACAGTTTAAAAAGAGTAAGAGCTTGAGCTGCAAACACTAAAAATCCATGCTTTATTCACATTTATTTGGCTTTTAGCAGTCTGGCACAAAGTATTTCCAAGAATGTAACATGTAGATCAACTGAGTTTGACTACACAGTTAAACAAGAAGAGCTAACCCAATTTAAGCACTCTAAAAAAAAAAATATTCAAATACTTAAGGCAAAGTGTAATGTGTGTAATCCACAACTTTGAGACAGGGTTTCCTGAATAAAAAAAAAAAAGGAAAGGGCTGAAGTGAACTGTAACAAGATAGTGAATAACTGCTCTTCTCATGGCAGAGATCATCAGTCATACCTGATCAGTTTCACCTCCCATGACCAATTCTAGCCACACTGATATTTTACATTACTCAGAATTAGTACAAAGCATCCCAATCAAAAAAACTGATTAAAACATAACTGGGTAACAGATATATGGGGGCATTCCTTCTTAAACCAGTATGCAATAGCAAAGATGTGATAATTACAGGAGTCACCGAAGTACGTTATGAAAATGATACCAGCCCTGAGCTGTAATGTTGGAAAAAAGCACTTAACTTACTAAGTCTGAAAAGTGATCTAGCTATGCAGAAAAGCATTAAGAACTTGGGGATTAAAATAAAAGATAGGTTCATGCCATAAGCGATATGGCTCAAGTTCTTTTTCCTGGGGATGTAGGAGCATCACCAAAACCACCTGTTTAGCAATTGCTATCACGGTACAAAATTTTACTGATTTACATTTCTAGCGATCAGCATTTTGCATCCACTTATTGAGAAGTGAGGACCAGCTGGCTCCGTTCATGAAGACATGATGATCCATGTGATGGCACTTGCTGACAGCACTTCCAGCTTGTCATTTCTGCCATCAGTTACATTCTTTAGGAGAAGGTTACTTCAGCGGCGAACATTGCAGAGGAATCAGGAGCGTATTTTGCTGGGACTCCAAGAATCTGACACTGTCCCTCACTGAAATAAATGTGTATTTCATTAAGACAGTAATCCAATCAGAAATAATACTTTTCTCAGCATGCATGCAGGTAACACTAGTGAGTTCTCTGGATCCATCATCTCTTACCAGCTGCTACCACTCTGGCATCCTCATGGGCCCTGTGCCTTCCTGCTGCCCGGTGATCTGGGCTCTCATTCCACCAGATGACGTGCACTGAGAAAGTACAAATAAGGTCAGCTGAATACTGTTACGCTGCAATACAACATGTACTGTAAGTGCTAGCAGTCTGCATTCACCTGTTAGATGCCTTGCAGTTAGCAGAAACAATTCTCCAGGCAAGTAAGCGGTGTCTTTGCTGAGCCTTTAAAGGGTCTGACTCTTAACATCAGATCTGAAAGTCTTTTAAGATAGCAGCACCTGGCTTAAACCTATAACCCAATACACAAAGCTGGGTTCAAGGACTGTTTACAGGACTTTGGTGATCCACACCAACATTTCATCAAGGCGGCCAATCCTGATGCAGAAAAGGGCTTGCCCTTCTCCCTCTGCTCCCTTCCCATGCCAAAGTCCGTATCAGAAATTGAGTAGTACCTGTGTTAAGTAATCCATACTCTGTGTGGAAAACACCAATCAGCTTGGTGTAACCTGTGTTGATGTGAGCATTGATTGCAGCTCGAAATGCTTCACCCCACAATGCTGGCCCACCAGGCTTCATCTGGAAAGTAACCCATTCATATACTCCTGGAAGAAAAGGCAAAGATGACCTCAGGGAAGGCAATACAAATTAATATGCTGGGCCTCAGCATATTGGAGAGTTTCAGACTACTTTGCAGAAATCAGAAATACTCATACATGTTTGCAGGATTTGGATGGCTGATTGAACAATGCAAGGTAGCCTTCTCTAAGACCGGCAATGCTTTCTGGCATTGAAGTGCTTTTGACTCCGGGCAACCAGTGACGGCAAGATCTGAAGGCATAACCAACACACCAGGACTGGCTTAGCATCTCTTCTCTGCCAGACAAACTCCTTTGTAGACAAATGCCCAAAAAACTCCAGTCCTGCTACAAGACATATTATCTGTCTCCTTTCTGTTCGGGTAGTTACTCCAGATCACAACTGCTGACAGTATAATAGAAAGCTAGACACTTGCCATATGGCAATGTATGTCTAGTCTCATTCTCCAGCAATGGGCTGGAGATCGATAAACTAAAATGGGAATGAAGTGTTTGAAAAGTCATCTTTCCAGTCTTAAGAGAAAAACTGGCCTGCTTTCAAATTCAACTGTAACAGCATAAAATTCAGAATCACAGGGAAATAAAGAACAAAGATCGCTGTATGTATGCATACGGAGGGCTAAACCAAGGCCTGTTTGACATCACTCCATGAAACAAAGTCTGCCAACGTTCATGAACTGGGGAACAGTCAATACTATTAATACCACAGAGAGAATTAAAATACATCAGGACGGGATGTCTACACATAATCTATGATTGTTACAAAGTGTGCTTGAATTGCACCTATCTTTATAAAGTAGGGATTTTTTGTTTTTTTCTTAAAACTATTATGTGAAAGAAGCAGTAACATCAAAGCAAGTTGATAAAAACTGCTGTGAAAGAGAGCAGTCATTGTCTTTAGTGATGGACAAAGCAAGCCTGGGATGACTGCTCTGACCCCTACTACAGCGTTGACATTTTGCATGTTCATTGAGGCAATTCACACACCTCTTTTACAACCTTAACGATCAGGGCTCTAGTCAGTTATTGATGTAAGTTAGCGTAAAATCCCTCCTAAAAACTTTGTCCTTCATCTGTGTTATGTCACCTTTTATCCACATGGATGTATGTGCATGCACTTGTTACATGTAAAGGGTTATAAAACCATGTAATACCTGGTTTAATCTTTAAGCCACTTTTTGTTAGTCCACCAGCATCAGTAACTTTAATCAGCAAAAGAGAAGATAAGCTCACCCCCTTCTTTTGGAGGCTTCCCAAGCTGACACCAGGGTACCAGATAAGCAACCTCATTGTGCTGCTTTTCTATCAAGGGGAGAGCTGGGGAGATGAATTTTCCCTGCCAGTCTTTGTCATTGGCTAGTGCGTGCCGGACTGCTGTTCTGTGAGCAAAATTATCTGTAAGAAAGGAAATTAAAAAGAAAAAAAAACTATGAAAAAACCACATCTAATGTCACATTAGACTCAATCAAAATGTATAATTACAAGGAGGCAAGCTGCACTCACATAAGTTTGAAATTGATATTTTTAAGCAGTGTATTAGCTCAAAGCAGATGTGGCAACTTTCCTTCGAATTCTGCAAAAATCTTTGCTTTAGCGAAGAGAAAAAGATACCAATTATTTTTAACTGCTAAAAAGATATAAGCAGGGGTCTGATGAATCAAGGAGAAAGGATGTTGTACCTTATACATGTAAACACCATTAGGAAACAAACAAAAATTGTTTCCTTAGTTTTCCATTTTAAAATTTTCTCACAGATTATTCAAAATGGGGTGGGTTTTTTATTTTTTTAGAGAAAGAGTAAGACTAAAAAGTTCTGAGAAGCAGGACAATTTATTAACCATAGATGAACATAAACCCGTCATATTCCCATTGACAGGCGGCTGGTCCCGTCATCCCTCCAGAACAAAAGGGGTGACTCTTTATTCTAAACAGGTACTGTGAACATGCTGGCTTTCAGTGAGCCGACTGACAACCAGAAACAGCCAGAAACAAAATTCCCTGTCTCAGCACACAGATATACCCTGGACTGCAGCAGGTATACAAAGAAACGATACCAGCATGCCTTCACACCTCTCATAATGCAAATATCAAGTTCCCTTGGGCTCCACAAAGACCACAGCCAACACACCTAGTTTCTTGCATAATTGCAGCTTTTCGTGGCTCACCAGCACCTTCCAGGTCAGTACCAACTCCGTCAATGTAAAAGTTGATTATACTGCAAGAAGCCCGCTGCTACCAAGGTTGAAGCACGCTTCGTGTGCTTGGAAACTCGGGGCTGGTGCAGTGTGGCTTCCCTCCTCAGCAGAGTCCAGCTGCAGAAGGAGTTTATACATGCAAGCTGCATGTTCATTTGTTTTAAGGGAGCAACTGTTACACTGAACTAAAATTTGAGAACAATTATACGTGCCGATAAACATACACAGACTGCATCTAGATTGCACTTGTATGTATTATCTTGTTAAGGAGGGCTCAACCCTTTTTTCCATCCATTTTGAAATTCTGAAGACATTTGTGGTTCAGGAACTGGCCCAAAATTAAAAATATTTACCATGAAGAAATCACTCTGCTGCAGTTCTTCTATTATACCTGTTTTCAGCAGAAATTGCTGTTTTAAGTCAGTTGTAACTCTCTCATCCTAACATGTCAAAATTGTCCTGATGGGCTCTGCAGTGTTCTTTTCAGTAATCAGCACAGGAAAAAAATTTTTTTGGACACTTTCTTACAGTAAGAGCAACAAATAGAAGCCGTGTAAGCATTCTCCTCGCCTTCTTGCCTAGGAGGCAGGGAGCACAGGGAGAGCAGAGCAGCGCAAAGGGATGCCGAGCGTACCGTACTTCCAGATGTGGACAACCTTATTCATTGCTCCCAGCTCCGCAGACCAGAGTCCCACCAGCTCCGAGTGAGCTGTGCGAAGGTGAAGGTACTTGTTGAACATTTCCACAAACTCCTTCATCTTCGATGGTTTAATATCATACGTGCGAATTTCATAGAAAATGCTATTATTTTGTCTGGGCCCTGTAGCAAGGGGTGCAAGTACCTGAGAGAAAATGTTAAGAAAAAGAACTAAAACTAATTCTCAAACAAGGAAACTGCCTTCTGTCTAATTTCTAGACTTTTTTGGAAAAAAGCAAGATGTGATTTTTTTACTGGGGGCTGGGAGAGGGAGTACTTTGTGATCACCACTACAAAAGTACCTTGTGACTTTTTTCCTTGGAAGTAGGTCCCATGTGCCTTACTTGCTGCAACTCTTTTTGGCAATGCAACAGACCATGATGTGTCTTTTTATTTGTCACACTCAACTGTTTAATTATTGGCCTATAACAAAGCAGGATTTTCCTTTTCTCATACCCCTTCCTCAGGAAGCCAGCAGTAGGATGCAGAAAGTCAAAGCCACAAAAAGAGAGTCGACTAAACACATTATTCAACGGTGAGGCCGCTGATGCTACCGAAGCAGAGGCAACGTCAACATCTGCCTGTGTTGCCCTTACCTGACCAACTCACGCGACTGCAATCTGTTTCATAATTACAGTCTTGCACCGCTATTAGCAACTGACGTATTATTGACAAAAGAAAGAAAAAGATATACCAATGCTTGGGAAAAGACTGATTCCTTCCAGCCCGAGATTGCTAGAGTCTGCATCCTTGCCCTTCACTGGTTGCTTCCCAAAGGCTGGTCAGCAACAGGTTTTCTATTCGCGTAACATCAAACGCTTCAGAAGTCTCAGAACTTGCTTACTTTTGCAACTGCCTCAACAACCTGGAACACGCTGCTCACCTCGCAAATAAAACTAGAAAAATTAAGGCCAAATGACACCTTTGGCCTGAGACCCTATTTGCAGAGAGGCCGCTAGGGGATGGATTTTGGACGTGGCTGACTTGGCGAGCATCAGCAGGCATGGGCATCGTACAGCCCCAGCCACAGAACGCAGGCGGCCGGGGCCAAAGGTCTTGTTTCCCCGCGACCCGTTGGAGTATGACACCATTAGGTTTGGCTATGTCCCCTTTCAGCACCTACAGTTTCTAAATCCCCAGGGGACCCACAACGAGCAGCGGCCCCACACCTATGGTGAGCAAATCGTGACAGCAGTTGGCTGCCAGCGGCCCACCCAACGCCGAATTCCGGCAGGAAAAGAGAAGCCCAGAGGTTCTCTGCCGCTCAAGGAAACGCTGGACCGCTGCTGGACCGCCCCTCCCGTCCACAGAACACGGCACACGGTGCCGGACGAAGACGCGGGGGCCGGGCTCACCAGCAGGCCCGTAAAAGGGGATGTCGCGACAACGACCGGCCCGTAAAAGGGGATGTCGCGACAACGACCGCCCCGGGAGCAAGAGGCAGGG